TCACTAGAGGTCCTGAATTTGAGTATCAACATTTGCAGAGGCATATCAGCGTTCTTTGTCAAATGATTTAGAATATTAACAACATATAATACATTGTAATCACCTCAGTTTAATAAAAAAAAATAACATTGTAAACATAATAAATAATTTTAAATAATATTTTATTTATTAAATAATATTACAAATCTTACTTATACATACAAACAAAGACTATAAATGAATATATATATATATATATATATATATATATTGTATATGGTTATAAAAAAATCATTTAAATTAATATTATAATTAAATTTATATATATACTGAAGTAAATATATTTGATTTATTTCAATTTTTATAAACACAACTTAAAATTAAATAAAATTTAAATAATAAAATAATATGGATCTGGGCTATTGGCTGCAAGCCCTTCTGCATTGCTTTCAAGGTCTTTAATTTCTTCCTCAGCTCTACCTTCTGAACTTTTGCTAAAATTGTGAACTTTAGCTCAAATTTTATTTGTATTTTTTAGATCAAGTGTAAGCTCTGAAAGCGTCGAAAGATATACGCTTGCGACCCACCCATCGTGCGTTGTAGAAGAAAAGAGTCGTATGAAAAAAATTTGTCTTCCCACGTGTAATCCTACCCTTTCACCATCGGTCTATCACCGATGTCCCTATTTTTGGACTTGCGGTGCAAATACAGATTTGGCTCGTTGGGTGGCGAATTAAGTAAAGGCAAATCGTTTACGATATGGATGTGATAGTTTATGAACCAATCACTCTCGACAAATGGAATATGCAGGAGGGAAAATGTTAGCAACAATGGAGGGGTGCTTTTAAGATTGCCCATGTTGCTTGTGTTATTACATTGGTTAGATTATCACCATATCATGTTTGTTGGTATTTATATTTTAATTTTGAATCTTAGATTGTTATTTTTAGGTTAAAAAGTTTACTTAATAAAGTTTGAGTTTGAATTAGTTAACAACGAAATTAATAATTATTAGGATTTATCGAATCAAATTTAACCAATAATATTAATAGAAAAAAACAATCATTTCTTTCTCATCAATCAAGAAGGATAGGTCCCGAGGAAAAAGCACATTAAGATTGGTTCAAAAGCATTAATCTTGAAATATTTTCATAATCCTTGCAATGTAAGTAATCTTATTGTTTTATATATAAGTGAAGATAAGATCAATAAATAACATAAACTTTAGATATTATTAAACTCAAAATAAATTAAGGGTAAACTACATCATATACCACCAAATTTTATAATATTCATCGTTTAAACCACTAAATTTTCAATTTTGTTAGTTATAATACTAAACTTTAATTTTCATTTCAATTATACCATTGAATTGTTAAATCGTTAACGACACGATGAAGTGACTAATGGTTGCTGACGTGGCTAACGGTTGCCGACATCGTTTTGCTCCGGTAATTAATGATTTAACGGCCCAGTGGTATAATTGAAACTAAAATCAAAGTTTAGTGTTATAATTGGTAAAATTAAAAGTTTAGTGGTATAAACGATACAAGGTTTAAAATTCGGTGGTATCTGGTGTAGTTTATCCTAAGTTTAAACACCATCAAAAGGAAAAACAGATTCTATTATTATAAGAGAAAAAAATTATATATAGCATCATCTATTTTACTAATAAAAAGAACAAAATTTATAATTTTTTAAGATAGAATATAAATCTAATCTCAATTATTAAGAAAACCATAAATTTTAAGAAAATTCATTCTAAAAATTAACATTAAAATATAGTTAACAACATCATATGTCCCCAAACTATGATCCTAATTTCAAATTGGTTCTTAAACTTTTCAATATTCCAATTTCATCACTAAGCTATGTCTCTCATTCTAAATTAGTATCTAAACTTTTGAACATTCTAATTTCATCCCCAAACTTTTGAATCTTCTAATTTTATCCCCAAATTCATCCAAATTTATAATCAATTTCAACAATGGTTTAACCTAAATTTTATTTTTTAAAACATATAATAATATAACTTGACCTAATGATTTTATTAACAAGGGATGTGATTAGTATATACATATAATTTGGGATGAAATTGAAATATTCAAAAAAGTTTAGGGACCAATTTAGAATGAAGATCATAGTTTGGGGATAAAACTAAAATGTTCAAATGTTTGAGGATTAATTTAGGATGATAGTCATAGTTTAGGGATGAAATTGAAATGTTTAAAAGTTTAAAAACCATTTTAAGATAGAGGTCATAATTTAAGAACATATTATGCAATTAATTCTTAAAAATATATCACAAACTTTATTAATAATATTACAAAATTTACTTCCACCTGCAAACAAGATTGCAAATATTATATATATATTAATACTACTATAATATTTCAATTAAATTTAAATATATACTCAAATGAATATATTGAATTTAATCAGATTTTCAAAAATTTCAATAACAAAATAATATTTATTAACTCAACTAACTGAAAAACTTTGTATTCGATTTATTCATCAATGGAACGTATTCTCAATCCTAGTCCCTTTGCCTCCGTCTCTCGAGACCTTTATTTGACTGCTCAACGTCAATCATGGACCCTCACTTTCCCGCCGGCTAGCTAACTCCAGGACACCAACTACAATCCAATATGGACGCCCCCCACAAAGGCTCTCTCATACAATAAAATTAAGGGTAAACTATTAGAATGATCGTTTTAATTTTATTAATTTTTTATTATTAATTTTGGAAAAGTTGTTTTTTAATCGTTTACCTTGTCGGTTTTTTAAATTTTAGTTACTTATATTATCGATTGTTACATTTTAGTTATCGAATTGTTAATTTATATTAGTTTGGTGACGTAATACGTTAGTAAAACTGTAAGGGTGAGCGTTCGATCGAGTTGAGTCAAAAAATTTCAAGTTATTCGAGTTAACAAGTCATATTTTATAACTCGAAGATGAATTAAATTTTTTTGAGTTAAATCGAGTTTATAAAATTTGAGTCGAGTCAAATTTTTGAGTTTTTTGTTTAAATTTAATTGTAAATATCTATAGTATTACGATATTATTTGATTTCAATTTAAATGATTTTTTTGGTATAACCACCGGTTTTCAATTTATTAATTGACTAATCCGGATCGGATATTGTAGAGGCAAGAGAATTTAAATGATTTTTTATAACTATATACAATACATATATACTTCTTTATATTTTTTCAGTTGTGATATACATATATCATTAAGAGTCGAGGGACTCAACTCAAACTTAAAAATCAATCCACTAATTACTAAAATTTTTGAGTTATTCGATTTGTATTTTACAACTCAATTTGAACTTGAAATATTTTCGAGTCGAGTTTATGAAATTACAACTCGAAGTTAATTCGAGTCAAAAAAATCATTTTTAAAATAATTGAGATTACTTTTATATAAAATATCAATTTGACCTCCGAATTTGACTAAAGTCTCCAATTGTCGATCACCTTTCACCACCATCATTGGTAGCCATCGTCGGCTGTCACCAACCTTTGGACCTCTAAATTTTCAGTTCAATCTTTTTTGGCCTCCTGAACATGAATTTAATCTTTGTTTTATAAAAAAAATACTCGAACTTAACAATTTTAGCCTAAAACCATTCAGCCTCTTTTATGTTTCTAATATTAATTGTAAATTTACAAAATTATAATGAGAGCGATGGAACTTTAGTCTGATTCTAAGATAAAGTAAAATTAAATGTATTTGATAGTTGTAACTGTAAAAGGGTGAAATTGATTTTTGCCACTATCAGACACAAATCCTAAGAGCTGAAATTTTTAATATATTTTTTATTTTTATCAAAATATTGAACACTTGTCATCGACATTATCTAACAAAATATATAATGAAAATATATATGTTTTTTTAACAAACGAAAATATATAAGTTTAAATGATACTATTAATTTAAAAATTATAAAATAATATTACAATTTATAAACATTAAAATTTTATAATTAATATTATAAACATAAAAAATAATATTATAATAATATTATAAAAATATGAATTTAATTATGATATAGATTTAATTTTTTGGTTTCATTGTTTTCAAACGAATATTGATAATAAATTTAGTATTTCGATTCAAACGAATATTGATAATAAATTTAGTATTTCGATTCAATTTTTAAAGGAATATGGAAGATTCTAGAATAGATTTGTTAAATTCAGAGTATTTTATGGTAAAATGAACACTAAATTTGTATTCATGAAGTTAAATAATAGTGAAATAGAAATTTTGGGGTCTATGGTCGTTGACGTCGACGGTCAATGGTGACTGGCAATGACTAGTATTGATGGTGGAGAGTTGTGGCTAATAGCAGAAGACTTTGGTCGAATTTATGAGTTAAATTGATATTTTATCTAAAACTTAGGTCATTAATATTTTGACTAAAAGTTTTTGGTCAAATTAAGGGTTAAATTAAAAATAGTTTTTTTACCAATGTATTACATCGTCAAGCTAACCATAATTAACAATTTAATAATCAGAATGTAACAATCGATAATGTAAGTGATTAAAATTTAATAAATCGATAGCACAAGTGACTCAAAATGTAACTTTTTCAAAATCGATGATCAAAAGTGAAAAAAGTGACTATTTCAGTAGTTAAACCTAAAATTAACCACCTCCCAGACAAGAACGGTGTTTTCTCCGGCGTCGGAACTCGGAAGCGAGAATGATATCAATTTTAAATGACTGGAGCCCGATGGTGTATGAACTGGCTAATGGCAGCGAGCCCTTCTTCTGCATTGCTTTCTGGGTCTTTAATTTCATCCCCAACCCTTTCTTCGGATTTTTTTTCTCAAATTTGTGTACTTTAGCCAAAATTTTTCTAAATCAAGTTTAAAGATTTGGGGATTGTATTATTAGAATTAGGGGCTTCTTCAATTGTAATTCTTTCTAGCTTGGAAAAACTTACTTTTTGTATTTTTCAAAATGGAAAATCATTTGACACATTCATTGAAATGTGAGTGGTAATGGGTTGAATATCAACCTGGAAAAATTTACAAATAAGTTCAATGATCCTATAGAGTAACAGGCAATCCATAGTTCTGGATCGTCCTTATCGTTCCATTTTGACTGCCTGCAACTATAAAGAGTCCCCATGTTTCCGGTAGGACCGTGTGATAGTCGCCGTTTCGATAGAATTGCTGGTGATCATATGCATAAAACTCATCTTCCGCAAATGCTGTGTCCCACAACGGAAGCTTTTCTTCGGGCCATGTTGCAGAGCCCTTGAAGGAGCTGTCAATGGAGAACCAGTTACCAAGAGAGAATCGTTGCGAATCTATGATCCGAGAAGCACCCTCTATCTGATGCTCTCTTGGATAGGAGTCCGAGTGACTCCGATCCGAACCCTGGCCTAACCATGGTATTGCAATGGACACATCTTCACAGAAGAAGTGCTCGCAAGACGAAACAGATTTCGTATGTTTCGATGTTCGGGGGCACATGTTATCATAGTTCCAGACATAAATATGACAGTCTTCTCCAACTGAGATTATATGTCTCCCAGTTGACGTAAAAGATGCCGACATCTGACTTCCAGACTTCGGGAGCCCTGCACCATTGCAAACACAAACACATCCATTCATAAGCAATAATCAAATGAACTATCACTGCCGTCACTTTGAAATTAATCAAATGAACTATGACTGCCATCTAATTCGAAATGCAGGTAGAGCAAGCACAAAATGCAGGAACGATATGAACCAGATTCGAGTTACAGAATAAGAAAGGCTACCTTTAAATTTACGAACAATATCTACCCCGTCGAGTATTCGGAGTTTGGAATCTTTTGATGCAACCATAACTTTGTGAGGTTCATCCTGGCAGAACTGCAAGATGGAACCAAAATCATAAGTAATGAATAAAAATATTACTGCAAGCAACATATATTAGAATCTAGAATTTCAGTGCAAAACCTGAATACTTGTGATCTTGTTGCCCAAACTTTTCTTTCTGCCGGGAATTTGAACTTCGGCCTCCAAATTAATGCCGTCGCCTATGGCACCAAGTACGTTAAATCGAAAATAATCAGGTTGAATGAAAACGAAAGGCGAACAACTAAAACCGAACTCAGAACATGGATGAAATATATTACCTGATACCACATAAAATTGGCAAGTTCCTCTAATGGAACCGACGATAAATTCCTGCTAGAACGAAGGGGCATGGAATGATTATAGTCGATAAAAGTGATGAAATCAAAAACAACTATTTTAGCAGAAGAATATTGACTCAAGTATTCAGAACCAAACCTTTCCATCTGGCCGGAAGCATATAGCAGTTATAATGTCCCGTACATCGATCCAGTGAACGACTCGTTTCTCGGACACTCCCCAAATCCTAACCTTTCCATCTATAGAACCACTGATGAAGTAATTGTTATCAATCGGATTCAACTGGATACAAGTGACTGTTAGCACACAAAGAATATGGTCAGACCATGACACAACACATTCCAAAGTAACGAAATGGGATCGAATCATTTTGTCGTTACCGTAATTGTTATGATGAAAAACATTTAGACATTGATCGCAGCCGACTTGCCATAGACGAACCGTCTTATCCATGGAAGAAGAAACAAGAAACTGCAACCAAAAAATTCAGGTATATGAATAAACATGTCTAAAGGGGACTGAATCTAAGTGCAAAGTAGATTGCTAAGTTTCTGCATTGACTCACATTTGAATTGGACCAAGCAACATCTAAAACATCACTGGAATGGCCATGAAACTCATGGATTGGTGACTCCTTGATCCAAAAATTCTCATTAGGAATAATAACTTGAGAGTGGAATGACTTTTCTCTCCCGAAACCAAACTTTCCTTTTTCCATAGATCTACCTAAACAGAGCTCTGCCATCAAAGGTTTACTAAAGGCATCTATCGATGTTACTCGCCATATTCGGACCACTCCATCTTCACCGCCGGTCGCCAAATATTGACCGTCAGGGCTAAACTTCATAGTCCATATGTAGCCCTTGTGAGCCTGTATTTCTTGTCCCATATGAAGTTCTGAAAACTCCATGTATCTTTTCTTGTTGGACTGAACCATCATTCTGTTGGTTTTATGCACATTGAAGCTCGGTTCCATTACCTTAGATGAACGCCTGCCTTCTCCTTTCCGCATGCTCAAAAAGTGTTTCCACCATTTCTTGAACTTCTTCGGATTAACTTCACCATTTTCAGATTCATCAAAGTGTTCTTGAGCTTCCATTACCTTCAGTTCTTTCTCTGATTCATCAATCAACAAATTGGCTTCACAACACATTTCCCTATCAAAGACAGAAATGCATCCTTCGCCGTTGCCGATAGGCGAAAACGAAGAACTCGAGACGGCATCACTGCATTCTGTGATTCTATCCAAATCTTCCATCCTTGAAGATTTGGAAAGATGAACAAGATCCATTCCACGAAGAAATCTTTGGCGTCGTTCCTCAACACTCCGAGGTTTATCCATCCAAATTCCATACTCTAATTTCCCACTCTCTGATCCTACTTTGGCTAAAACCGGCTCTTCGACAGATAAGAAATCCGAAGAATCGAAGAAAACATCAATCTCACCCTCTTCAGAGCTCAGCATGACTTGTAATTAAGACAAGTTTTCCACATCAAAACCAACTCTTTCAATACATTACTCTAAACAATCCAAGAACACTTTGGGATTGAAGCCAAACTGGAAATAATCAAATAGTTAAAAACAAAGATCAATGCTTGAATGGTTTCAAAACTTGTACCTTGGGTTCAATGCACACATCAAAACTCGATTTTCAACCTTAAAGAACACTGGAAAAGCCTTTCTTCAAGGGATTGACTTTAACAAATATGAGAAGAAGAAAAAACCAAGAAATCCAAAACCAAATGGCTTATAGGGAGAGTGTGTGGTTCGCCATTTGGGACCTCGAGATTTGGGATTTTGAAACGCACGAGCGACAAGAAGATGCGGCGCAGCCCGGGAAACGAGAGAGCCTAGACTTGTGCTTTCTGCAACAAAAACTTTTTTTTCTCTTCCATTTGTGTTGGTAATGATGGTGATGATTATATCTACCGATATCTGTAAACACCAGCAAGTTAGCCAAAATTAATGGCGCAACTAAATGGGGAAAATCGTAAAAAAAAATCCCACAGCTACCAAATGAAGGTGGCTTTTCAACATGAAAAAAAATAATATGGAAACTCTTAGAATTGGAAATATAACACTAAATGTAATTAAATTATTCTTAGTACCCTATCACAGCAAAATTCTGAAGGTGGGAAAGTAAACTGACAATTCATATTTTTAGTACTGAGAAGAAGAGAAAAAAGTTTGTATTTTTGAAATAAAAAAGGCTTTACCTTTAAAGCTGTAGTACAGTTGGCTCTGTTATGTTGATTAACTAAGCTGAAATTTTTTAGAGCAGCTCAGCAACAACAATACTAGTCATAGGCTCAACACAGCAGCGCAGCTCATTTAAGAGCAAAGGGTCCCCAGAAAAAACAAAAAGAATGGCTAAAATAATAATAACTATATAATTACAGAGTCTAGGGGAGTCTACTACTGAGCTACCAAAGAAACCTAAACAGATAGGCTGGTTCCATTTTCAGCTAACCAAAAAGAACACACTCATACACCAGATTATGTTTTCTCTTGGGTTTGATGTTTGAAGCAGATTATGTTTTGTAGATGTTTGAAGCAGATTATGTTTAGTAGATGTTTGAAGAAACTGGCAAACGTGATGAAAGAGCGTAGCTTTGTTTAATCCATTGTTCATCTGTTTCTGGGTTTTTAGTGGTGGTGCATAATCCCGGGTTTTGGGGGTTGTTGCTGGGAAAATAATGCAAACGAGATAAACATCCAAAGTGATAACTCAACTCGGAATCTGGGTTTTGAATTTGATGAATTAGTCTTGATAATTTATCTTTGTGAATAATAACCCCAAGGACTAAGAGAGTAATAAAAATGGAAATTTTTAAGTTTGACTTGAAAAGGTTGAAAATGCAATGAACAAATGGAAAGATTTTATTTTCTATTTCTATATTGAGACATGTTTCTCTTCAACATAGTTTTAATTCAATTAATTGATGGGTCTTATCCATTTTTTATTTCAATTAATTAGGGTAAAGCTTTAATTTTATGAACTCTACACTGAATGATCTGGCTAATAATTTTTCTCTGCAATAATAGGATGAACAGCAAAATACAACAAACATGACCTAATTGGTGACAGAAAGTGGGACAACGGGGAGAAAGAAAATTAAGCTTCATTTTTTTTTAAATTTCAAATGGTAGATTTGAACACCCAAGTTTTGCATGGTCCATCTCTACTTCTTTTTTATACTTGGTTGGTTTAATTTCCACCTTATGTTTTTCTTTTAATAAGTCATAAATTAATAAATCATTAATTATATCAAAAGTTTCATTATAATAGTATTTAGAAATATATATCTAAGTCGCTCTCTCTCTCTCTCCTTTAGAGTTTATGTCATTTTCAATAGATCAGGTCAATTTTTTTTGTTTGATTTTGTTTAATTGGTGGTGACATCGATTTTGATTCTAGTTGTCAACCGTCGATTATCTTTTTTTTTGTTTCTTTTTTCATTTTTTTAATAAGAATATTTCTGCCTTTGTGACACGTTTTTCTATGTCTTTGTGACACGTTTTTCATTTTCTTTATCAGTTGTTTGACTGTTCTTTTTATTTTATATTTTCTTAAAGGTTGGATTTAACAAAGTCACGACTGATCAAGATGGCGTTTATTATATCTTGTTGATCTTACCTGTTATGAACAACCGTCGATTATCTTTTTTTTGTTTCTTTTTTCATTTTTTTAATAAGAATATTTCTGCTTTGACACGTTTTTCTATGTCTTTGTGACACGTTTTTCATTTTCTTTATCAGTTGTTTGACTGTTCTTTTTATTTTATATTTTCTTAAAGGTTGGATTTAACAAAGTCACGACTGATCAAGATGGCGTTTATTTATAATCTTGTTGATCTTACCTGTTATGAATCCTCATATTGAATTTGGATAAACGATTTTACATTTGTGGATAGCTTCTCACGGCATTAGGCTCTGATTTATGATTCTCAGTGATATTTCAATAGTTTAATCCCTTTTATAGTTCGTTTGTCGATGTATTCATAATTATTCGTATCTATTTTTTGCTCGAGTCTTTTGATTGAGTTTTTACGATGAAAGTTATAAACTCTTATTATAATTTTAGATATTTTCATTTTTTTAATAAGACTAACGAATTTTATTAAAAAAATTATATCTATAATAATTTCTTATTTAAATGTTTAAGAAAAATATGAATAATTTATACATAATTTTTGTTGTATGGAGTATAAAATTTGTTATTGTATATAATATTAAAGAAAACATTTTTAGCAAAATTCTATGTAAAAATCTAATATTTTATTGTCACCTCAAGCTTTGTCCAGGAAACTTGGAGAGAGAATGAGAATTCCAAAAAAGCTAATTGCCAGAATCAAGAGAGAGAAGGAATCATTCTCATCCTATTGACTTTTCGCTGGAAGAATACTTATCATATTCTATTTAAATTATTTTTGTAATATAATTATGACAAATTTAATATTATTAAACTCATGTCTTATGGATTATGAACGCTTAAAAGATAAAAAACAAGGTATATACATTATTTTAAATAACGTTGCTTTAACAATAATTCAATATATTAATCAATTTTCGAAATCTTTCTGAAAACCTAAAAGTAGGATACATTATTCTAAAATATGTTCATCTTTATGGGAAAAACAAGATATATTGGTCTAAAATCATGGAAATATAATGACAAACACAGCGTTGCCAAACTTGTGGCCAAATGCAATGGGCAACAAACTCTCAATTATTATATGGTTTCACATATCACATCTTTAATGTGTCCTATTTTCATTGGTCAATAAATAAATAAAGATGAATGTGTAAAAACCAAATATTGTAAAACAGGTAAGATGGAGAGCTAAACTTGGACAACAATGGTTGAACTCACGAGTGCAGTGCAGCGGATATGGAAGTCTTGATGGAGAGTCAAATACTGTGTGGGTTGCTAATCAAATCATATATATATATATATATATATAATCATTTAATAAAGTAATTAAATAATGAAGCTAATATTAGCCACCTAAGGTTTGATTAGCCCCTAGCTGTTAGGGACATATCTCTCCACTCAATCTTCTCTCGATTTCCTCTCATTTAATGCCAAAAGCTGCATGCTTTACATTTTTTCCTTTGGCTAAACTACACTTCTCACTATATTGTTTTCGGCATGTCTTGTTTTAGTTACATGTTTTCAAAACATTACGTTATCATCATTTATCATCATTTTTGTTCTGTTTGTATTATTTTGGTCACTTGACTGTTAATTCCAATTAATTTATTGATGTCATATGTTAGTAAAAATCATTAAATTTTAACTTTATCCTTAAATTTTAGTTAAAATACTAATTTAACTTTAAACTCTAGATAAAATATTAATTTAATCCTTTAGACTTTAGATAAAATATCAATTTAACCCTTCAGTCTAGCTAAAGTCCACGCCATCATCTAACACTCATTACCAACATCGACCACAGCAAGTTGCATGTAATATACAATTAAAACCCTAAACCCAATACCTTAAAAGTCCTAAAACCATGAGCCCTAAAAACATAAAATCTTAAACCACAATCATTATATCTCAAACTTCAAACTCCAAACCTCAAAACCCTAAATCATAAAAATCTTAAAATATAAACCATAAACCTTGAAAACTTAAAACGTAACCCCTAAACTTTTAAACACTAAAACATAAACCTCAAATATTGAACTATAAAAACCATAAACCCTAAATCCAAATCCCAAAACATAAACACTAAAAATTCTAGATCTAAACCCTAAAGATTAAACTATGAATCCTAAATCTCAAATCTTAAATTATAAACCATATGCATTAAAACTAAAAACCTCAAACCCTAAACAAAAAAATCCACACTTTAAATTATAAACACTAAACCTCAAATCCTAAATCCTAAATCATAAATATTGACATATTGAACCCTAAATTCCTAATCACTTTAGATAAAATATTAATTTAACCCCTTAGGTATTAGATAAAAATAGTTTAGTCACCTAAATAAAAACGGTATAATTTAGGCATTTTTAAGCCTTTTAAATATATGGAAAAATGGAAAATTATATTACAAATGTTTGATTTGTATTAGAAAGAAATCAATCAATCAAACATCAAATTCACCGATAATTGATGCAATTGGATTTTAAAATATTTTTGAAGTATCACTTTGACAACCATCCAAATTATTTGTAATCAATCATATTGTATTCTTTATGTAGTTAATGGCTTCGTGCGGTAATGTCAAAAAAGATTTGAAGTAGTTTAAGTAATGCGTTTCAAACTAAATGTACATACATACATACATACATACATACATACATACATACATACATACATACATACATACATACATACATACATACATACATACATACATACATACATACATACACATACATACATACCTACATACATACATACTACATACATACATACATACCATACATACATACACATACATACATACATACATACATACATACATACATACATACATACATACATACATACATACATACCATACATCACTACATACATACATACAACATCATACATACATACATACATACATACATACATACATACATACATACTACATACATACATACATACATACATACATACATACATACATACATACATACCATACATACATACACTACCTACATACATACATACATACATACATACATACATACATACATACATACATACATACATACTACATACATACATACATACACATACATACAATACACATACCTACATACATACACATACATACATACATACATACATACTACATACATACATACATACATACATACATACACTACATACATACCTACATACATACGTACGTACGTACGTACATACATACATACATACATACATACATACATACATACTACTACATACATACATACATACATACATAGTATGTACATACATACATACATACATACATACATACATACATACA